TCAAGCTGTCCTTTGACTTCGTTATAATCATGCAGAATGTGAACACAGACCGAGAGGTAGTATTCAAATAGAAAAAGGGAGCACTGCATGGTTTAAAATGACAACTGTATGCATAAGGGCCATACACTTATCTGATATGCTTATTCGGCAAATAATCCAGATACTCTGTAACACATGAAGATGAATTCCATATCAGGGTTGGAGGAACTCTAATTAATGACCTCAAAGCAAGAGGATCGTAAGGGCTTTGCTGTTGAAGGTCAAAGATTCCAGTCTCCAGCATAGATTGCAAGTGAAAGGGAACAGCACGAAATCATGGATTACTATAATATCTGTAAGAGCTCCCAATAAACAGATTTAAAAATGGAACATGTTCAGTATATCTTAAACTGGAATAACTAAAGAAAAATTCAAGCTTCAAATTGCAATATTGAAAGACTATGAGCAAAACATGAAAGATGCAGGAAGCATTAAAAAAGATGGAAATAATACAGGGTCACTGTAACAATAAACTAGGTTACAATCCACCATTTAAAGAGGCAGCATGTTAACAAAAACCAGTGGCACCAAAGGAAGGTGTTCAAGTTACCTTGAAAGCATGAGTCAAAAAGAAGCCTCCAGGGATTGATAACAAATCAACAGAAATGTTTCAATAAGCTGCTGAAACACTGGAAGCACTGATCTATGGCAGGAAATTTGGAATCATTACTCCCATTACTGCTTCTGCAGGGTTTATCTATCTTGGTTAACTCTCTGGAAGAGTTCCATATTTATTCTTATTTTAAAGAAAGATAACCTAACAGAATGCTCAAATCCTAGAACAAAAGGATTTATAAAACATGCAATAACAGTTTTGCAGATCATTCAACAATGGTTGCAGTTGTTCATTAATAGGGAGCTGCCAGTAATTTAGGCCAGATTCAGAAGGAGTTGTGAAACAAAGGGTATCATTGCTGATGGATCTTGGATCAAAGTAGAGAATACCAGAAAAAATGTTTACTTTTATTTCATTGTCTATGCAAAGGCATTTGACTGTGCAGATCATAACAAACTGTTGATAGCATTAAGAGGAATGGGAATTCCAGAATGCTTCATTGTGCGCATGTGGAACTTGTGCATAGATCAAGAGGCAGTTGTGCAATCGGAACAAGGAAATATTGCATGGTTTACAATGAAGAAGGTGCTCATCAGGTTGTGTCCTCTTCCCACACTTTTTCAATTGGTATGCTGAGCAAATAATCACAGACTTTCTCTGTGGAGGGATGTGTCACCAGGATTGGAGAAAGGCTTATCAATGACCATCCATACGCGGATGACATACCCTAGCTTGATGACAGTGAGGAAGTCTTGAAGCACTTGCTGATGACGATCAAGGATTGCAGCCTTTAGTAGTAACTGCAACTCAATGAACAGAAAACAAAAATCCTCCCCAATTAGACCAATTGTAATATCATATAACAACTGACAACAAGTGTAACATCGTGATAAGTAAAGATCGAAGCTACCAAGGATTTTGTTTGGTTTGGTTCCACAATCAATGTTCATGGAAGCAGCAGTCAAAAGATCAGAACACATAGTGTACAGGGTAAATTTGCTGCACAAGATCTCTTTAAAGTGTTGAAAGCAAGGAGGTTACTTTGAGGAGTAAGATGGGAGAAAAGCCTTGGCTTTTTCCACCACCTCATATGCTCGTGAAAGTGAGCAAGCAGCACTGAAGGCGAATCGATGCATTTGAATTACAGTGCTGCAAGAGAAATGTTGAAAATGCCACGGACCACCAAAAGAACAGACCAATCTGTCTTCTTAGAGACAAGGATGGTAAGACTTCATATGGTACTTTGGACATGTTGTCTGGAAACACCGATCTTTGAAGAAGAACATCATGCTCAGTACATTAGGGGAAAACAAACAAAACACAAACTCACTGCCATTGAGTCAATGCTGACTCATAGCAACCCCCTGTGGGTTTCGAAGCCCACCCCTGTGGGTTTCTGAGGCAATGGGAATAGAAAGCCCAATCTTTCTTCTGTGGACAGAGGAGCTGCTGGTCTCAAACTGCTGACCACGCAGCAGTAACCACTACACCCCCAGAGCCCCTAAAGTAGAGTACTTTCTGTTCCTACAAAAAATAGGAATGCTATTGACAAGATGGACTGACCCTGTGGCATTCAACAATGCATTCAAACATAGGAAACATTTTTATTAAATTAAAAGATCATTTTATTGGGAGCTCTTACAGCTCTTATAACAATCCGTACGTCAATTGTATCAAGCATATTTGTACATATGTTGCCACCAGTAGTTTCTAAACATTTACTTTCTATTTGAGCCCTTGGTATCAGCTCCTCTTTTTTCTTTCCCTTTCCCCTCCCACCCTGTGACCGCTTGATAAATTATAAATTATTATTATTTTCATATTTTACATCAACCGCTGTCTCCCTTCCCCCATGGTTTCTGTTGTTTGTCCTCTTGGCGGCAGGGGGTTTAGTTATGTGTCCATCATTGCCATCAGTTCCCCCTTCCTCTCCTCCTCTTCCCCCCTTCCCCCTACCCTCCTGGTATCCCTACTCCCATTCCTATTCCTGGATTCCATGTGTTATGAGCTCTTATCTCTTATCTATACCTGTGTACACCATCACAAAATGCCAGCTTGTTTTAACAAATTGTTGGATTTTGGGGGGCGAGGGGTTACCACCTCATATGTTGTATATGTGCATGAGTTGGAAAGCTGCAGAGTTCAAGTTGGAAAAAGTTCAAGAAAATGACAAAGGCAAACAGATTAGATGAAGTTCTAATCAATAGAGCATTCTATTGTGCTTATTAAAATTTTCTAGGTTGAGATCAATTGGTTTCTCCAAGTAATTGTCAACTCTGTGAAAACTAGTGCTGATGATAAGTTGAAAATGGTTGCAGCAGTACATTGACAGGGAACTGCCAGAAATTCAATGCAGATTAAGTCAGATTCAGAAGAGGACATGGAACAAGAGAATACATATCATCAATGATGGCAGATGAGTCTTGGCTGAAAGTAGGTAGATGTCTACTTGTGTTTCAATGAGTGTATGAAGATATTCAGTGGTGGAGCATAACAAATTTTGAAAAACATTGAGAGGAATGGGAATTCTGGAACATTTAATTTCATTCATGGTGAACCTGAAGGCAGACCAAAAGGGAATCCAGGACGGATGAGCCCTACGGGACCAGTGGTGTGAGTGGCGAAACAGGGAGGGTAGAGGGAGAATGGGTAGGAAAGAGGGAACCGATTACAAGGAACTGTGTGTGACCTCCTCCCTGGGGGACAGACAACCGAAAAGTGGGTGAAGGGAGATGTCGGACAGGGCAAGATATGACAAAATACCCATTTATAAACTATCAAGGGCTCATGCAGGAGTGGGGAGTGGGGAGGGAGGGGAAAAATGAGGACCTAATGTCGGGGTTTAAGTGGAGAGAAAATGTTTTGAGAAATGATGTACAAATGCGCTTTACACAATTGCTGTGTGTATGGATTGGGATAACAGTTGTATGAGCCCCTAATAAAATGTTTAAAAATAAATAAACAAACAAACAAACAAACAAATAAATAAATAATACACAGAAAAAATAAATACTGTTTTTTCAAATGAAAAAAGGAGTGCATCACAATTGCATCCTTTCACCATATGCATTCAATCTTTATGCTAAGCAAATAACACGAGAAGCTGGCATATATGAAGAAGACCATGACATTAGAATTGGAGGAAGACTCATGAACAATTTATCATATGCAGATGACAGAATTTTGCTCCCCCCAACAAAGAACTTAAATCACTTACTCCAGCTACAGCCTTCACTATGGGTTATACCTCAACATAAAGAAAACAAAACCCCTTTCAACTGGACCAATCAGTAACATCAAAGAAAATGGTTAAAGAGTACAGTGGTGCAAGATTTAATTTTGCTGGGTCTGCAATCAACGTCTATGGCTGCAACAAATGGGAAATAAAACAACGTATTGCATTGGGCATACCTGTTACAGAAGATTTGTCTAATGCAAGCTATTGCTTAAAAGTGTGTAAAAAGCAAACATGTCATTTGCAAGACTAAGGTGCACCTGACCCAAACCAAGATATTTCAACCACGTCATATGCATGTGAAACTTCAACACTGTCTAAGGAAGAACACAGAAGAATTATGGTCTTGGTGAAGAATAGGTAATATCCCTGGATTGCTAGGAGAACAAATGAATCTGTGTTGAAAGAAGTATATCCAGACTGATTTTTAAAAATAAGAATGGTGAGACTTTGTATCATGTATTTTGGGTATGCTATCGGGTGGAGGCAATCCTTGGAGAAGAGCTTGGCATAATAGAGAGTTGGGAACAAACAGGAAGCTCCTCAGGGATACGGACCAATAGTGGCCGCAGCAATGGGCAAAAACATAGCAATATGTGCGAGCATAGCTCACCACAGGGCAGGGTTCATTCTTTCGGGTATAATGTTGTCATGACTTAGAACCGACTCCAAAGCACTGAACAGTAGCAACCGAAGTGCTGTCATAAATTCTGCTTAGTTTATCATTATAGGTTTACCTTTTTTAATCGAGTACAACTATTGAGACAATGAAGTCTCTATTTTTTTCTTATGTAAAACATCTTTTCTAAATCTCATGCTCAATTTCATTTTCATACAATGTATGCATCACATTTTTCACAGCTATTATGTAAGAAAGTAAGAATCAGCATAATTCAAATACTTTACTGACATCAGTGCCGTTTTCCAAATAGAAATTACTGAGTCATTTCTTTTATCGTCACTTCCAGTAGATAAGGGGATATAGGCAGAAAACTTTGCATACAAAAAAAATCGAAAACTTTCTTTCTGGGATTGGGATAGTTTTGATCCCAAAACTCTAAAATGAAGTAGTCATCAGTTAATAACCTCAAGCAATACTCTTTCAACCAATACTTCTAAACAATGAATGTTAATGCATAGTTAAAATTCCCCTCTGGACATGAACTTTACCTGCATGTCTTGACAAAAGGAGGCCAGTGGTCCAAAGAGAATCTGACATTGCTCATCCGCTGTGTATGTCATCACTGGTAGCTTGGAGGGAACCAGTACAGAATTCACACTCTGGGGATTGGTCTGTAATAAGCAGTTGCTGGCCTTTGACCTGGAAACATGCAGAAAGGTACAGAATTGTGAGTTTAGCATGATCAATTATTTTTATCATTTGGTATATTAACAGGGAACATTTTATAATATTAAAAATATATGATCTCTTATGCTTATTTGTTGGCTGGTCTATTAAATGTGTGTAGAAATTATTCCATAGATGAGACTCATTTATTTATCATTCTTAAGATTAATCATAAATAACAATAATATCATTCTTAAGATTAATCATAAATAACAATAATATCATTAATAAAACTTAATAACATTTATACTATAAAGAACTTTGATAAAGCTTGCATATCTCTGTGAAGTTGGAGTTATATTATGAATGTGTTAAATGAAGAAACTCAAAGGGGAGCAATTTACCCAAAAGTATTGAGTAAAGGTAAGAACATATCTACAAAAAGATTTTAAAGAATGTAATGAAAACATTCTTGAGTGTTAATGGTAAGGGTATTTTTTAACTTCACATTGATTTGTAATGCAACTACTACTTCTGAGGTGACATCTAATTTAAGCAAAGTTCAGATTCCCATGAAGACAGTCATACAATGTTATTCATGTTACTTAGGAAATCACTGAGACTCACTGAAGGGCTACTGACAAAGTCATGTTCCAACTATGCCCAATGGAATCACTAGAGCAGTGGCTCTCAACCTTCCTGATGCCGCGATGCTCTAATACAGTTCCTCCATCGTGGTGACCCCGAACCATACAATTATTCTCATTGCTACTCCATAACTGTCATTTTGCTACTGTTATGGATCATAATGTAAATATCTGATATGCAGGGTGTATTTTCATTGTTACAAATGGAACATAATTAAAACATAGTGAGATGGTTCACAAAACAATATGTAAATATATGTTGTGAAATATTTATTTCAAAGTACAAATAAATGAAGTTTTGTCTTGAAGCATGGTGTAGCATGGGTAACAGTCTCCATTCCAGGTACTCGTATGTGGGCTTATCTGCATGTCGGCGGGCCCACCTGGAGATGGATAGAGGAGCGGTGTCTCAGTTCCTAACACCATCAGAAATATGTGGTTTCTGATGGTCTTAGGTGACCCCTGTGAAAGGGTTCTTCGACCCCCAAAGGGGTCGTGCCCCACAGGTTGAGAATCACTCTCGAGACAATCAGGACAAAAGCATGCCATAAATATATTGGACACATTTCACAATGGAATCATGCTATTATAACAAACATGATACTTTATAGGTTTTAATATACATCTTACAGGAAATATTGCTGCCAATTTAAATGGTATGAAAAAATTAGCAAAAACTTTTCGGTGCAGTGAATTTATCTAGGTAGGTATTCATATATTCTTATTTAATTATATTTTCTGATACTTTAAGCAGCTCTTTCTCTCTCCAACTTGTTACTAACTAAAAAGAGAATACTACAGAATACTTCAAAATGAAAATCAAAAGAAAATTATTTTTCACTTCTTTCTTCTACTAGACAGAAGCTCAGTGTTACAATCTTTGAAAATGGCGAAGAAGAGAATAGAGGACTGCTATCATCAGAGAAACCACTGAACACTGAGAAAAGATTAAGAATTTAAAAGAGTCACAGGGAAATATGGGAATTGTGCTAAAGAATTTCCTTGTGATAGCGGACGTATTACATGATGAGCGATGAGGGCATTTCTTCTGAGAGACATTAAGGTGGCAACCAAACACCTTTTTAAAATGATATATTAGTATTTCAATCTCACAAATCATGCTGTCCATGTTTTTATTGGGAACATGTAGAAACCCAAAGGCAGATGAGTTTAAAATATATGTTCTAATCCACAGCCTGGTACAATAGAAGGGCTCAGATGGAAAGCCAAATGGCTGGACTCCTGTCCCTTTCCAGCCTGCCACACTGCCCATCTCGATCTGGAGCAGAAGCAGGCACACCAAAAACATTCACAATGCCACAAGGATAAGTGACTCCAAGTACCTGAGAAATCTTTCCAAATCTTCCTTGCTACACCGCGACCATGAAACATCACCAAGGTTTTGTCCTTTAATCCATTCGCCAGACATGATATGAAGACCATCAGCACAGGATGGGTGGTCATTGTCATGATTAATGCCCATGCTGATCCAGCATACAATTAAGATGAAAAAAAAATAAAACATTTGCTTAAGCGTTATACTTTTAAACCATTTCATAGCTTCAATTAAATAACACTTAAAATAGTGGAGAAATATTATTTTTAAAAATCAAAATAAAACTCAATTTCAGATTAATTTATTTTTAAATTGTTATCCCACTAAGAGGTAGATATTTCTATTTAGTTGAAAACACTTTTACCATCTACCTGCAAAATAGCATGTTTAGGTCACCTATATCAAAATTATTTAATGATACATTTTTCACATTATAGTATGTATAAAACATTAAATCGACAGCAAACT